CGCTTGATCTTCCCCTTCCTAGCTTAGAACTTCAGATGGAATTGAGCATCGACATTTTTATTAATCATTATCTTTTGAAACTTGTTTCGTGATGACTCTAACTCAATGCGAAAGTTCAAAAGAGCGAGTGACATTGCAGGTCGTGGGAATACAATAGCCTAGAAATAGGCAACAAGTCATAGACACTGGAGGATTTCGATCGGTCCAGTTCTTTTTCCTCGTATTGTTTGGGATATAGCCGTGTTCAGACCCCTACCTTGGAAAAAAAAATCCTCGCGAGTCTTCTGACCTGCACACCAACGATGATGAAAAATCTAAAAATGACTGAAAAACACAAGAAAGACCAAAATAGAGCGAACCACGAAACAAATTACAAAATGAACTAAAACTCATCTAAAAGACCTAATATGGGGGAAAAAACAACTCCCCCATACTTAAAACGTTGTTCGCCCCGAACAAAAAGGAAAGAAAAAAACGAAAACAAGCAAATGAGCATTGATAACAGATTCAAATAAGTCAAGCCTCAGATTAATCAGCTTAGCCGAGGAGAATTCCAATGACCAATAACGCACACTTCAATTACAGCTTGAATGCTACGCTTTGAAAAGAAAAACTCTCAAGCACGAAATTATAATATATATATATGCCTCATTCAGTTTCTTGCATAAATGAAATGGGTTCGCTCAAATTGGTCGATCATCCTGCTTCAACATAAGCTTGCCTATTGTCTATTCATACTCCAAATCAATCAAAGATCATGAATTTGCAAATCAAGAGGACTTTTGGGGTTGCAGTAAAGGCACTTTGCACATGGGAAAGACCAAAATAAAGATAAAGTGGCTCAAATAAACAATCAAATTCTCGAGCATATAAACTGCTCGAATTCTCCACCACCTATCCAAAATCAGCATGAAACCAATCATTCCCATAAAAAACTTCATACAACAATCACACATGCTCAAGCTGAAATGCACATTAAGTACTCGAATTTCTTTTCTTTTTTTGTTAATTATTTTTTTAGGGAGTTGCCTTTTCCTAACAAAACTGAGACGTAAGGATGAAATTCTCCAGGTTTAAACATTGAAGGTCATCCAAGTTTCCTAGAGTGGTTTCCCAATACTCATTACTCGTGAAAAATTCCACAAGTAAGCGGAGTAGAATCCTTTTCGTCTGTCTTGCGAGTTCCCAATTTTTTCTTATATATATATATATATATATATATATATATTAGTCATCATAACACATTTTAGAAAGCTCCGTCATCATAACAAATACACTGTCAAATCTCAAGTAATTCAATCAAATTGGTTGACAAGAAATACAGTTCAAGGCTCAACGGGCTACTAATGCAAATATCACTTCAAGGGTCAATGAAAGAGGCTAAAATGAGTAGTG